TTTAAACGTTAAACCCTTTACTGTCATGTTCCAATATAAATTTGTTTCTTATTTGCTGTTTATCTTTAGATTTAGTGTAGTTAGAGGATGATGATTATGTAGCTATCTGGCCTTCCCAGGTAGCCTTTGTATACCAAATTTTTATTTTAAAAATAAATAAATGTACTTATAAGGCCTATACTACCTCCGAGGTATGTAAGGCCTCTAAATACACGGTAGTTCACCTTCATTATAACTTTATACAGGAGATAAGGACTATAACAATAATTAATATCCTCATCTATGAAGTACATTCATGTTACAACTCACGTGTATCTTTTACAAGATACAAGATAAAATAGAAATTTTGTCTTTCTCATAGCAACGTCAAAGTAAATATTTAAAATCATACATACATGAAATAATATTCTGTTAAAATTAACAATAGGTACTAAGAGAACAATTGTATCGAGTAGTTATTAGGATTTAGTATTCTAATGTCTTTTGATATCAACTACTGACATTTATAAACTTTGAACAAATATTTTTCCCAAAATTTCAATAAGTTCAATAATTATTCACACCGTTGTCTAGATAACAAGAATACAACATATTTTTTAAATGTTTATTGCGATATGTGTTTTATTTTTTGCAGTTATGGCTGGTCTAGCAAATTTACAACAGAATTCTGAATCTCAAGAGGATAGAAAAAGAAGACGTTGATAGATGTATTTAATAGCCTATATATTAGATAAATATTCGGCAGAATATCATAAGAATAGCTGCCAATGATGATTCTCTTGTTCGCATGTATATTGAGGAAATTGCTTAAAGTACATAAACATATGTACTTTAATGGCAAACATTCAATGAACAGAAGTAATTTAAAACATACAATAGTTATCACTGGATAAAATGACCATAACTCATCTTAAATGAGTGACTGTTGCTACATTTTAGATGTGATGACTTTTCTTCTCCTTTTCATAATATTTCAATTATATTTTGGAGTTAGGTTCTTTTTATATCTTGCTACACTACAATATTTCAAATACTTAATCAGCAACTTTTAAAGTAAAGATTAATATAAAATATTTTAAAGCAAATATATGGTTTGCTATCCAACAGTGGTAATATGATTATTGCCTGATCATTCAATTATTCTCAGAAAGAAAGATAAAATTTTAGAAAAAGCTATGTATTATCATTTATTGCTCATTGTTGAAATATACCAATTTTAATACAATAGTTTGTAAAATTCGATCATTGACTCCCTTGTATCTACGTAGTTAAATAATTTGTCAATCTTTCTACACTTTCGGCGAAGGTGGTTTGCGCAGAGCTTTTCATTCGGGTTGATTATCTTGTGGTCGGGAGTTCAAATTACACACATTGATCATGCTCGGCCGGCTTGTATAGATTAAAATACAGTAAATTCTTCCAAACAGTGCAAAGGCAGTTGTGTTATACAAGAATACAGAAGCAGTGGCGGAGACGGAGTGCTGCAACCCAAACCCCAGTCGAAGAACGTGAAACACTAAAATCGATTATAGGCCTTTCAAATCCCTAAATTATCTGAGTTTCCGAGGTCATTGCATTTTGGACCTTGGATTGGCCTTCACTTTGAGGGTCATTTCTCCCCTCACGTTGAAGCCATTCCTTCCCTCCGTTGGAGAAATCTGAACCCACCGTCCCTCTCTGGTGCCACCAGTGTACAGAAGAAGAAACACTGGTGAAATTAATAATAACAATACTAATGAGGTTAATTAACATTACAGATGATGGTGATGATAATGCTGATGTTTCAAAGATGGAGATATGATGAGGATGAGGATGGTTATCAAAATGATTATGATGTGCATGAAGACAATGATGGTGGTGGTGGTAATGATAATGATGATGATGGTGATGATGTTATTTACGATGATGATGTAAACACCATCATCATTTTGCAATTTATTTTAAATTTTATCGAAAATCTATATTATCATTGTTCTTTCTGTATTTTACTGGTGTTACTGTATTTTTTTTTTTTTATTTTTTTTTTGCATTTGCTAAGAAGGATTTGAAGGATATGAAAGAGCCCTCATAAAAGAAAGTTGAATAAATAATAAATAAATCAAGAGGATGAGGACGAAAATAATGATAAGGAGGATAAAGATGTGGATAAAATGAAGATGACTATAGGCAAGAACGTAGGCCTACATATTTTTTTTATTTCATTTATTTTTTTTTTTGTTTTTTGGTTGGGGTAATGTTTGGAGGGGTGTCCGTTAATATCCTATGGTGGGATTACGAAGCAAAGCCCTCTGAAGCTGTTTTGATGCCATACATTGACTGATCATTGACTGATCATGATAACGTATATGCCTACATTTGTTTTTACCCCACAGAAAGCGAGACATGAAATTTTGTTTAATGGTTGAAATATTGTATGAATTGTCTGATTTCGTTCCAAGTTTCCCTAAGTTATTATGGTACAGTATTTATGGCGTTTCTTTATGGGTCTATTTTTAAGCTGAGATTGCATGTCCATTGCTCTTTGTCGTTCAGGCTGATGGGAATTATATACAGTGCCTCCTCGTGGCGAAACACAGTTAACTGTTAACTCAACCAGAACTAAAAAGGACTCGGAGGAGGTTCGTCACCAGACAAGCGACACGCAGGTCCACTAGCGTGTGGACATGCCTTGGTGCCCATGAACTGAATCCCCAACTTTGGGCAAATAACCCTACTGCCTTGTGTGATACTTCAGGAGAGGTAAGCTAAGGGAGTAAACCCCGACAAAAATCACCACACTGCCTTGTGTGCATCTTAAAGTTACAAAGGCGAAGATTAGCCATGACAGAGCTAGCAAGCCGATGGCAATTTAACATTTCCTCTGCTCAATAATTAACGAAAGGAACCCAACTTAACAAAATGAATAGTATACATAATGAATTTCCTTACTGCATCATTCGTCGCGCAGAACAAGGAGCTCGTTTCCCCATGGAGTGCACAAACTGACTGGGTAGAAAAATTGGCTACTGGGTATCATATTAATCATTAAGACTTCCTACATTATAAAAACATTTTTTCGAAGGAGATGAATTCCGTAGAACGTTTCAGGAAGTGAGTCAATTTCACATACTTGCTTATATTAACGCTTTTTAATAAAATATGAACTTGCTCCTCTTCAATATAAATATTTTCCAATCTTTCAGTAGTTTTAAATTGGAATATTGGTAATGAAATTTTGGGAGTATCAATGGATAATTTTTTAATTTAAAAAAATCATTAAAATAACTTGCTTTTTCGAAGTTGTTTATTGTTTATCCCTTTCACTTCTGCAGGTAAATACACCCCTTTTGTTGAGCTTTCTTTTGAGGAAAAAAATGTGATTTTGAAATAAATGCCAAAGAAGTTGGCCTATGGGGTGGTCGCCCATATTGGATTTTCTTTGTTTTCATAAATTCTGTGAAAGAAAAAAAAAAAAAAAAAAAAAACTTTTCTCCAAGAAAATTTTATGGGATGCTGTTTTTGTCACTGGATAATGATGAAGATATATAAAATGAATAAAAACAAACATAGTTTGAATTATTTTCTTAATTTTATTCAAAGACAGACACAAATCAATATTTGTCGACAGAGTCGTGAAAAACATGAAATTTTCAAAAAAATCCCTGTAACATGTGTTTTTTTTTTGTAACAATTAGTCATTTAGGCCTAATTCAGTTTGTAAATAATTGTAACGACAGTTATTGTATTTCATGAAATAGGACTGTTTGACTGAAAAAAAAATCACTCGCATCTTCGCTAGTTCATAGAAAAAAAGAACTATTTAGAGGGCGTGTGCACTCCAGGGTAATTTTAAAAAAGATTATTTTCAAATACCCGGTACTGCCGGGAAAGCATAATTCAACGACATTGTTTGCTACCCGGCACTACCGGATATGCGCAGTGAAAGGTTTAATGGTGGGTTTGATAATGATTTATGGTAGCAAATCATTCCATTTTTTCTTTTCTTTTTTTTTTTTTAATTGCTTGTGAAAAGAATCTATGTTTGTGTTTATCACTTCTGGAACTCATTAAACGTATTGACTTTGAATACAACTTCGCGAAAAAAAACTCTTACCTGGAGGCCCTATATATTTTTTATCCAGGCTCATTTTGGTACCCCGCAATTAGGCGCTTTTGTAGTTTCTGGGAGCCCTCAAACAAAGCTTTTTTTCTGGTGAAATGGTGAGAGACCGGACTCGATGATTAAAATGATGAGCTCATAGATTATTGGCATTTATTTGGCAAGCAAAATATGAACAATTGCCAATATAAAGTACTTCGCACAAATATAAGGAAATAACTATCACAAACTACAAACGGATGTATTGTTGGTGAAAATATGTATGACATCATCTATTCATGTCAGTTTTTTTTTTTTTTTTTTTCTACATTCTTTAATTCTTTATTATATAGATATTCATACTGAATTTGGAATGTCGGGTTTTTTTTTTCTAAATTAGCAACATTTAAACTAAATCATATCATTTATAGAGCTGTATGACATATCAATATGGATTCTAACATTAGACTTGACTTATTTATACGGTAATTTTCTTGATGATATAGGCCTATGCAGCAAATATTTGTTAGGCTATTAATTAATTATTATTATTATTAATTATGCTAGTTTAAGATACTTAATAAATAAAGTACAATGGCATTGTAATCTTGAATGTAATTTAGACATATGCAAGAGGAAATTATGTACACTTAGTTATGTGAAAATATGGCCCAAAATATTATATTTTAGAGTTGAAAGGAAAAGAGAATTTAGTCGTAATATGGCAAAGTAACACTTCTATATAGGTCAAATAATATTTAGGGAATTTGAACATTTGGTCCTCTAATGTGCTAATTAAACTTAGAAGGATATGCGCATGTTCTGAATTTCAGTATTTGAGGGTAAGAATTATGAAAACGCAAGAAAGGAATACGTAATTGTCTGTGATTTGATGATGGCTTAAGAAAACGGAAGTGTTAAGATCTATAAGCTAATCACCCTATCCGAATTCTGACAACTGGACACAGAAGGTAGATAAGAAGCACTTTTAGTATACGTACAAAAAAGGTAATGTTGTTTTCTGTTTTGTTTTTAACTTATTATGCTATCATGACATCTGAATATGATTACTTGTATTGATAATAAATCTAACAAAGTTATAGTAAAACGTTTTTCTTAATCATGTGTCTATTTGGCAAGGAAAAGAACATCTCTCTAAAAGTTATTTCATTATAAAAGTGATACAGTGACAGATACTGTATGCTTACAATTTGAGTGTACGTGTAGGAATGATATAATATAATACTTTTAAATATTAAGGACAGATCGATGTCTATGTGTTGCGACATTACGCTTTCCACAATTCAAGACAGGATGATTTGTTAGTGTTTGTGTTTACATGTCCTTCCAGGTCTTGTTTATTATAATCACACACCTAGGCCCATTATTAGGCCTATATCAGAACATACTATATCTTATATCAAGGTCTATCATATCATACCATACATTATCTTGGATGGGCTCCTTTTCGAGATAGGCTTCCTTTCAAGATTACTTTTGCAAACTTTGGCCGATTCAAGGGGGGCCGAGACGGTCAGCCTCCCGATCCCTCTTAAGTTTTTCAAGATAAAAAACTAAAAAAATATAATCAAATTTAGGTGTGAGGGTGCCATTTCCGGCCATCTAAAGGTGTTATAATCATAAATTGTATTACCTTTGGGTACGACAATGGTGGGGCTGATGTAGTCTAAACTATCTCAGTCTGTGAAGTCCATACCTGGCCTCCTCTATTTGGCGATCCTAAATTCGGCGAATTACTGGATCAGCCACTAGGCCTTCTTTTGAATGCTGTAAATTGTTCAACTATGAAATTCTGTTAAATGTTTTTTTAAATGTTAACCATGCCAGTACAATAAGTACCACTGGTATCGAGACGCTCTCATAATCATCAAAGCTAACGTCAGCCTGAATGTAAGTGGGCCTACTATCTCGAAAGAAGCCCATATCATCTTGATTTGAAGCGAGATGTGCTTCTTTTAAACATTACTTTTTGCAAACTGATGAGGGGGCTTTTTTGCGAGATGGGAGATTAAGCATATGGGCTTCTATTTGAGGTTTTACGGTATTTCGTCTTAAAGCACAACATAACCACATATAAACTATAACGATACAGTTTAGGAACAAAACATATTTAACTAATACCAATACCTTACAGTCGTACTTCAAATTAGATAAAAGTAATTACTGTAACAAGCATACAAAACAACCAAATGTTCATATTCAATGCTTTATCAAAAATTTCTTTTCATACATTATATTAGGCCTACGAACATTAAATAAGGAAGTTAAATTATAATCAATGGACTTTAAATTTGGTTAGCAATTTAGGCAAACCAAAAAGAAATTCATCTTCCTCTGTAAGGCAGTTTTCACTATATTACCCTGCCTGAATAAATTGAAATACTCTTTAGCAGAGAGCAGCATAACAAAAATTATTTAGATGTTTCATTATTTTTTCTTTTAGTCCACATATCGGTTTCAGAGAGACACCATAATTTGTATCCTTATAGCGCATTTTATTATTAGCTTATAATGATTGAAGAGACGTAATTGATACACGTGCTTTCATAATTATTCCAATGCCACTAAAAACAGCTGTATCATCATGACAAAATATACTTTATTATAACCAAATAATTAACATTAATAATACTAATAACCAACCAATAAACATTTTCAATAACCCCTAATTTATGCATAATGATAATACATTAGGTTATTAACTTTTAAAAGTTTTTCATTCTGAATGACTATGGCATAGGCCTACCGATATTGTATGCGTTTTACCTTCAGTATTAAATATGTTATAGGCTTGCGTCCAATTGCATTTTATTTATCTCATATATTATTATTATACATCCTGTTATCGGCGTTCTTGATTATTGGATGAGATAATAATAATAATAATAATAATAATAATAATAATAATAATAATAATAATAATAATATATATATATATATATATAAAATAATTACAAAATAAAGTGATAATTAAAGGAATAATAATAATAGTTATTATTATTGTTGTTGTTGTTGTTGTTGTTGTTATTGTTGTTACTATTATTAATATTATTATTATAACATCAATAAAAAAAATATCAATAATAACAATGATTAATATCATTATTATAGTATTGGTGTTAATGTTATTAATTATAAGTTTAATAATTAGGCCTACTGAAAATAGTCAAAATATATTCTCAATAAGAAAGCTCTAACCACACTATCAAATTGTATGTGATAAATATGGGTGCATTGGCCATAAATGGCATGATGAGGTCATCACATCCATATTGCAACAATTATGTTATAATATGCATCACAGGTATTTGTCACATAAAATTTGATAGTGTGGAGAGCTTTCATTTCAAATGATGATGAAGATGATAATGGTGGTGGTGGTGGTGGTGCTTATGATTATGATTATGTTGTGGTGGTGGTAATGATGATGATGATGATGATGATGATGATGATGATGATGACGACGACGACGATGATGATGATGATGATAATTTTTTTTTATATAACCTTATTTTCAGACTTTCTATTTGAAACTATTTACAACTCTCGGATTGACCATGCGTTTATTGTCTATTGTCGCTTTGCTGGTGCTCATTGCGTTTGCTGAAGCAAGTCCACGAAGTAGGTAGTCCTATATTTTGCTATAAAAAGCGTTTGTTTTGATCGTGAGAAAACTTCCATAAGAATTGACTGGGAATTGAATTTATTGTTCTGACATTGAACTTGCTGTATAAAGTTTCAATTGAGAATATCCGTCACACACAAAAATTAACGTCACTCCATTCCATTTTAAACGCCCTTATCTTCCTGAAACATGCTATAGTAAATAGAGTAGCTCTTAAACACTATAAAAACTGTACAATCCGTTTACGGAAATGACTGATTTGTAAATTTAGTTGCATCCCACTGCATGTATAGTTTTATTGAAAGAGATGTTTATACAGTATGGGAAAAAGTTGAATAAAATTCCTGCTGTTCCCAACTCGAGAACAACGGGGGCCTGTTTGAATTGTTTCCTTCATTCCAAATTGGAAAAATACAAAGGAAGCACTGTTGAAAAACTCAGCCCAATAAAAAAATTAATTAGCTTATCATCCCCTCCCGCATGTCTTCTATAATATTGAGAAAAAACCATTTTGATAATCGAACTTGTGTACTTTGGTCACAGGGCGCCGGGATAGTGATAGTGAGGAGGAAGATGGAATGCAGTCTCCGCAGATGCAAGAACAGAAAGGTGGTGACAGCAGCAGCAGTAGCAGTGAAGAAGACGAGGAGGAATCACTATCATCTCGTAAATAAACTAAAAAATGAACAAATATCATGACAATTTTAAATAATAGGGCGGCTATACATTTTAATATGGTATTACAGCGTATGTATATAGACTGGGAGGCAGACTGAGAGCGTGGTGTATAATTAGGAGCTAGAGGTAAGAACCTTAGAGTGAATAGAACCTCTACAAAATCTTCATAGTTGAGACAAAGAAACTATAATTATTTTAATTCGCTATGGTTTACCACTGACCTCTCTGCTAATGATATTGCAACTCAATGAACTGTTTTATATATATATATAAGAT